CACTTTATGAAAGTTATATTTATTAACACTTTATGAAAGTTATATTTATTAACACTTTATGAAAGTTGTATTTATTAACACTTTCTTCATCAAAACATATTATCCGGTGGTAGCGAAACTACTAGCTATGATTAATCATTTAGCAATTGGAATTTTTCAAGAATAAAGAAGGGGATTATAAATTATCAATTGAAATTCCAGCCAAGTCCTCTTAAAACAGGCTCGCTACTAAGTAATTGGATTTAATCTTTCCGGTCAACTTTTAATATTCTGAGGAGATGCCTGTCAGGATGCTGGTTGAAATCTGTGACTTTCATTAAAGTAATTTACTTTCAATAATCCTCATTCCAATTTTTTTTGTTTTCATACCACCGAATAGCGAAACAAGCCTGCACTTATCTTTCAAAATGAGAATGCACTAAAACGACTATTAATTTAACGACGTTATGATCCGTTTGCATTATTTCTTTTAACCACAAAAAATAAATAAGTGTATGAATGTAAGTATTTATATATAAAACAAAAACTTTTCATAAAGTCCACAATAAAAATTCGAAGCAATGTCGATTTTATAAATAATAACGAACTACATTCTAGAATTCTATAAATGTGCATACTACATGTAGACGGTTATATATTTTTTACTTACCTGAATAAGTTCTTTACAAAGGCTTCTTGTCACGTCAATGGTACGTTTACAAATATGTTTTACAAATACAACATTGCCTTTAAAGAAGCCTACTTTATATTCATCTCTGTCAGTACTTGATTTGGATTTCAAACTTCCGAATTTTTTTAAATCGTAGCCCATTGCCTGCAAGTATATCACATAGTCAATGTTTTCATTAAATTTACAAAAACTATTATAAATAACTTCATCTTGACAAATAAACTGAAAAAAACAACAACTGGTTTCATAGAATCTACGATGACACAAAATCAGAAAACCCAAATAATTAACAGATGTTACGAAAACATTTCAGGATTTACAATACTGAATTACTCGCATATAATCCAACTGTATTAATAGATAAGGATTTACAATACTGAATTACTCGCATATAATCCAACCGTATTAATAGATAAGGATTTACAATATCAAATTACTTGCATATAATCGAACTGTATTGAAAGATTAGGATTTACAATATCAAATTACTCGCATATAATCGAACTGTATTGAAAGATTAGGATTTAC